TCAACCTAATAGCAATGGCCTCCAACCTAGAAGCGATGGCCTCCAACGTAGAAGCAAGGGCTTCCAACCGAGAAGCGATTGCCTTCAACCTAATAGCAATGGCCTCCAACCCAGAAGCGATGGCCTCCAACCCAGAAGCGATGGCCTCCAACCCAGAAGCGATTGCCTTCAACCTAGAAGCAACGGCCTCCAACCTAGAAGCGATGGCCTCCAACCTAGAAGCAAGGGCTTCCAACCCAGAAGCGATTGCCTTCAACCTAATAGCAATGGCCTCCAACCCAGAAGCGATGGCCTCCAACTCAGAAGCGATTCCCTTCAACCTAATAGCAATGGCCTCCAACCTAGAAGCAATGGCTTCCAACCCAGAAGTGATTGCCTTCAACCTAATAGCAATGGCCTCCAACCTAGAAGTGATGGCCTCCAACCTAGAAGCAAGGGCTTCCAACCCAGAAGCGATTGCCAAGCTAATAGCAATGGCCTCCAACCCAGAAGCGATGGCCTCCAACCCAGAAGCGATTGCCTTCAACCTAATAGCAATGGCCTCCAACCTAGAAGCGATGGCCTCCAACCGATGGCCTCCAACCTAGAAGCAATGGCTTCCAACCCAGAGGCGATTGCCTTCAACCTAAGGAGGGGCGTTTTTTAATTCTTTGGACTCTGCTTTTGCTGCTTTTTTGCTTCTACTGCTTTTTTGCTTTTGTTGCTCTTCTGCTTTTGTTGCTTTTCTGCTTCCGCTGCTTTTTTGCTTTTATTGCTTTTGCTGCTTTTCTGCTTCTGCTGCCTTTTTGCTTTTGTTGCTTTTCTGCTTTGGCAGCTGTTCTCCTTTCTTTTTTTGATTTTGCTTTTCCATTTGTTTGCTTTCTAACCTTTGGATCTGGTGTGCTGCTGGGGGGGGGGGCGCTGCGCCCCCCCCAACCCCCCCGAAAAATGGTAACATGGGGCTTCTGGGGAGTTTGGGTTCATCAATCACCTCGTTGAATTTTCTTGGCTCTTGAAAATTTGTGTTGAGCCTTTGTCGTTTTTCTGGGGTCTTGTTATGCGTGTTTTAGGGTCATAACTTTCATTCATTGTTTGGATTGAATGAAGGGGATAATTGTTGAGGTGGTCAGAGTTTCTATGTGTAGGTTCAGGTTCAATTTCTACCGAGTTGTTCTTCAAAGATGTCGAATTATGTGCTTCAAATTCAATGTATTGATTGAGGTTAGGCGCTGTGGTTCCTGTTTGGCATATCAAGCATCCTTCAATCCAAAGCCAGTTTGGCACAAATTGACTGAACCGATGTATTGTCCTTTGTCTTTGACATTCTGCAGATGCATCTTTGTGAGGCAGGTTCAGCTTGCGCCAGGCCGGCTCGTCCTTCCAAGCGGTCATGCACGAACGCAACCCGCGAGGGCTTTTCCGGCGCAGACCATCAAAACTGGTTGGACTTTCTTGAGCACAGGGAGCGTCGTAGTGCTGGTTCTCCAAGCTCTCATTCAAAGGTTCCTTCCTGGCTTCTTCATGAACAGGGCAGTGAGGAAGGCTGGGCAAAGGCTGGAAAGGACAGAGCCCGCCCTTGCACGGCCGCTCGAGGAGGAATACATCAGGAACTTCATTAACACACCTCAACGTAAAGCTTTGAGCGCACCTTCATGCTTGGTGGTCAGTGGTTCCCAAGGCATTGGGAAATCAACCATGCTGCACAATCTCATGTGTGAGCATGTGAAGAATGGCAAAAGGGTGCTGCCGCTCAAGATGTCAAGACGTCCTGGTGAGGACTTGAAGCTCAATGAAGCGCTGCCCAAAGCACTGCAAGCAGTAAATCTGCCACGATACTACCCAGAACAAGTGGAGTATATGCTGGAAAAGGTGAATGAGACGTCCAAGCGCCGAACAGGCAGTGCTGTCGTGGTGTACCTGCAACTCACAACCAAAAGCCGCAGAGACAAATTTAGTAGGGATCCCTCGGTGCCTTCGCTCGCAACATCACCTACGACAATGCCGCGTGCAAGTTCATTTTGGAGGTCAGCGTGTCTGCGGTGGTGGACATCGTCATAGAACGGCTTAACATGTCAAGGCTGGTGGTGATGCGACCGCTGCCTTTCGAAGACTTCGTATCTGTGGTCAAGGAGGTGGCAAAGCACGGAAACGACTTCCAGACGCTGAACAAGGTTCTTGCCGACGATGAGGTAGAGGAGGTGTTGAAGCACTACTACATCCGCGCAGGGGGCAACTTCCGCGACTTGGACTTGATACTGGAAAACGTCTCCAGAGCAGGTCAGACAGGTGCGTTTGAGCAGTGGTACAAGCGGAGCAGGAAGTGAAGGACTATCTCCTCAAGGTGGCAGAGGCAGGACCCATGGGGTATCTCCCAGAGAGCGACGAAGAGACCAACGTGGCGTTGCAGCTTCTTTTTGAGGAGCCAGCAGACTGCGTCCTGAGGAGTACAACCAGTGATAGTGTGGCTTTGAAGCATGGGCATTTCGTCGCCAAGCTCTTTCAAGAGGATGAGCAGAAGTTGAGGGATGCAGGATACATGTGAGCTTCGTCGGTGAAAAAAAATGTGGCGCTTGAGATGTTTTGTGGGTGAGTCATCCAAGGATAATTTTAACATATTGCATGAATTTCCGCGGATGCCCAGCCCTAGTATCAATGATAGCGAGATACCAGTATCTAACTATCAACAATACCCAGAACCTAGTAGTATCAATGATACCCAGATACCAACATCCAAGTATCAACGATACCCACAACCTAGTATCAATGAACCAAAAGTCCAAGTATCAACGATACCCAGAACCAAGTATCAATGATACCCCGATACCAGTATCCAAG